TTTCTCTTACTTAGTCTTTTCGGCACACTTCGACCCCATGGGGGTAACGAAATGCTGCCAAAATTTTTGAAAAATCAGATAACCCATTTCTCCCCACCTCCTCACACAGTTATTTATTTATTCATTATTTCTTTATTTATTTTCTGATTTTTATTTATTTATTTATTTTTTATTTGCGGCATCCCTAGTGTGCTCACCTTGGTCTCTCCTTTTCCCTTGGCACATCCTTGACCCCGTGGGGGGTAGGGAAATGCTGCCGAAAATTTCAAAAAAATAAATATTGTTTCCCTTCACATCTCCTTACTTATTTCTTTAATTATTTTAATTATTTTTTTATTTATTTTATTTATTTTTATTTTCTCTTGAAATCTCGCTATTTATTTATTTTTCTCCCGTCTCCCCCCCCCCCCCCTGCTTGCTATTTTACTTTCTTGATTAGGTCACCGATACCCTACCCTAACCACTTAAACCTCGGTTAGGTTTTTCTTAGAGTTTTTGTAGGGTTTAGGGTTCCTCAACCCCCCCCTACTTCCCCGTCCTCTTCGGACACCCTGGACCCGAACCACCCCTCCCCCTTTGACGGTGCCCGTGCTAGCCTTGCTAGCGCCATTCGCCGCTTTCTACCGCGGACTTCCCCCTACGCCCTCTGCTCACGCGGACCTCTTCTGGCCCCCTCCAGTCTGGTCCGTCATCTCCCCATGGCCGACGGTGCGGCACACGCCGCCGACACGGTGATGACCACGACATCGGGCTCCACACCCGTGCCGGCGGACCAGGGCCATCAACCCCAGGGGAATCTACACACCCTCCTCACCTCCCTCCTTGCGCCCATCCAGGCGCAACTCGCGAACCTTGCGCCCATCCAGGCGCAACTCGCGACCCTCGCGCCCTTACAGGCACAGGTGGCGACCCTTGCCGCCGGCATGCAGCAACTCCAGGACGCTGCGTGTCCGTCATCTCTTGGCTCCCAGTCCGGGTCCCCCGTCCCCCGACAGGGTGGCCACGACGAAACTTCCTCCTCCGTTGCCCCTGACCCGGCCATCTTGGTGATTGTCCACGCCCCTAGCACGACGGCCGCCACGAGCCAGGCCCCCCCTCAGTCTACGGGCGCACCCGCCCAGATCCCGGTCACTACGGCCACGGTATAACAACCCGCTACCATGGTCTCAGCTTTTCCGGGTGCCCCACTTCTCCCTCCCCTTCGCACGACCTCAGCGCCACCTGGCTCTCCCCCCTCTGGGATGCCCCGCGCCGCTTATGCGTCCACCCCCTCCACTCTTCCTCCTGCCACCCCTCGATCGACCTACGTTCGAGGTCCCGCGGACGAGATTGCCCAACTCTGGGCCGACCTCGCCCTCTTACGCCTTCAGCCACCCCCACCCTCACAGGTGGCCGAGCCTTCGGGGCACCCCCTACCTCCTCTCCCCTTCCCCCCATGTAGGCTCGCTTTCTGCGCCCTGCACCCTATACAACTCCTTCCTACCTTCTTCCTACTCCCGCGGTTGCTGCGACCTCTTCTACCGCAGCACCCTCGCAGCCTGCCGCTGTTGCCACCGCTGCTCCCCCGTACGGCCCGGGCGCACAGTCAGCTGCGCCCCTTTCTCCAAGACCTGCGCCGACTTACTCAGCCGTGGCACAGGCCTCCGCTCCTCGATCCCCTCGCCGCCAAAACGGTGGCGCCCCACTCATCCGCTTGTCGGACATTGCCTTGTATGACGGTACAGGCATACGTGTGTCTCGGTGGCTGCAGTCTGCCACTCGCACACTCCAGCTTATGGGCGCCACACCCGAGACGTGGGTGGGTCACCTCTCCACGCGCCTGCGTGGCGGTCCTTTCGAGGCCTGGGAGGATTTCTATGCCTACTCCCTTCGTGAGGGTTGGACTCCGACCTTCGTGGATTTTCAGGCGTTCCTCGAGGATCGCTTCGGAGCCCGATACGACGTGACTGACGCCTTCGAGCGTGTCGTCACTACACGCTGGTCCGGCTCTGGTGGCGCTATCGGACTGGATCGCCACATCCAGGTCTTTCAGGACGCCCGCCTCGTTTACGACATGGCGTTCCTCCCCGAGGTTGCCCTTATCGATCGTTTCTTGGCCAGCCTTCCACTTGAGTACCGCTCCGAGCTATGGCGGTACGAGTTCACATCGGCCCCACAGGCTTACGAGGCCGCCAGGGACCACCAGCGGATGCGAGCCCGTCTTCACCCCGCCTCCTCCTCCCAACCCCAGCGCACGGGCTACGCCTCCTCCTCCTCTCACGGCACTTCCCAGCGCCGTTCCCCTTTCCGCAGTCGCCCCCGCAGTTCCACGCAGCAGGGCTGCCACTTCTCGCGCCGCTTCAGCGCGCTGGAGTATGGTGAGCAGGACGCTGTTGCCCCACTGTCACCTGAGGACGACCACAACGACGACCTCGATCTCTGCGAGGCCGTCCACTATCACTTGGAGGACTCTACCCTCCCTATAGCTGAGCGCCTTCAGCTTGCGCTCTCCGCCCTCTCTCGGGCACGCAGCCGCCCCGGTCACGCTGGCGCGTCGCCCCCCGAGGTCCCTCAGGAGGACCTCCCTCAGGACTTCGTCCCTCCTCGTGGTGTCCTTTCCGCTGAGGAGCGCGCGACTATTCTGGGCCGGCGTGGGTGTTTGCGCTGCCGCTTAGACGGTCATACCTCCTCGCGGTGCCCTTACACTACCGCCCTCGACCGCCACTACGCTGACCTTTCTCGTTAGCGTCGTGCTCAGTCCCCCCCCGGCGCCTCACGTCCCCGCGGCGCCTCCTAGCCACGGTGTAGTGTACACATGCGCCCTCCTCAGTAGTAGGTTTCCCGACATCTCCGTCGCGGTTCGCCCCTCTCGCTACTGGAGTTGAGGTATCGCAGGACTCGACAGAGTGTACTCAGCCCTCTGTCGCAGTACCATCGGCGCCTCCGCAGACCACCGTCTCCCCTCCTTCCCCGCCCCGACTACCGACGCGTCGAGCCATTCGCTCAGCCCGTTGCAGCGAGCAGCTTGCTACTCGCGAGGACGTTGTGTCCTCTGTTCTGGACTTGAGCATGCTCCAGGCTCGTCAGGAGCGACTCACCCTCCATATCGCTGCACGACGTCGCCTTCTCGCCATCCTCTCTAACCCTGATCGCACCCTCCTGATCATCCCAGTACGACTCGGGACCTCCACGAGGGTGTACTCAGCGCTGTGGGATTCCGGTTCTCAGTGTGACTTCATTCACCCACGCGTGGTGAAGGAAGCCCGCTTACCCACGACAGGGTCTCCGACTCCCATCTCCGTTACCCTAGGGGATGACAAGACCCAGCGCTTCTTCGATCAGACGGTCCCCAACCTCCCTTTCTTCCTCACTCTTGAGCCGACTGATCGCTCCCCGGCGTCTCGTCGCCACCGCTCCTCTGCACATTTCGATGTGATGGAGACGGGGTACGACTTCATTCTCGGCACTCCGTGGTCTCGTCGGTTCCGCAGCACCGAGGCCGATTGGGCGACCAACACYCTCGTTCTCAAAACGAAGTGTGGACAGACGTATCGCGTACCTTTCATAGGTACCACGGCGACACCACGCCCYGATCCTCCTCCCCCRRRGCCTTYAGTGCCCACACCATCTCCCTCTATCACGGTCACCTCGCCTCGGCAGTTCGCTCACTTCATTCGACAGGACGACGTCACCTTCTTTATGGTGGACGTGACGGATTTCTTACATTATGATCCACCCTGTCCCGACACCGAGCTCATCCCTCTGGAGCCAGATCCTCCCTCTATCTCTATGACTCCCATCTCTACTTCCGTCCCTTCGCCGTCCGTCGAGTCCACCATGCCATCGTTCGCTGACGCTGACGCTGAGGAACTCGCACGATATACGGCTGACTTGGAGCCCGCAGTTCGTGACCTCATCCGAGAGTACCACGACGTTTTCCCATCGTCGTTCTGGTACGCCGGCATCCCACTGATGCGTGACGTCGAGCACTCCTTTCAGCTTGTGCCTGACTATCGTGTTCACCACCAGGCACCCTACAGACTCTCGATCCCCGAGGCCACCGAACTCAAGCGTCATCTTAAGGAGCTCTTGAGACTGGGTTTCATTAAACCCAACAACTCCCCGTGGGGTGTACCCGTCCTCTTTGCTCGCAAAGCGGACGGAACTCTCCGTCTCTGCATCGACTATTGAAGTCTCAACCGCTACACGGTTAAGAACAACTACCCCATGCCTCGTTCCGATGAGCTGTTCGACCGCCTAGCAGGCAACCGCTTCTTTACGAAGATTGATCTTCGTAGTGGTTACCATCAGATCCGCGTCGCTGCAGTCGACCAACCGAAGACCACGTTCCGATCGCGATTCGGCCACTACGAGTTCACTTTGATGCCATTCGGCCTCACTAATGCTCCCGCTACCTTTCAGAGGGCGATGAACGACATCTTCAGGGACATCCTGGAGCGGTACGTTCTCGTCTACCTCGACGATATCCTGGTTTATAGTCGTACCCTTGAGGAGCACCTCAGACACCTCCGCGACGTCCTTGACCGCTTGCGCAAACATGGCTTCTACGCCAAGCTGAGCAAGTGTCGCTTTGCCCAACACAAAGTGGATTTCTTAGGACACTACGTGTCTGACCAGGGTCTCCACATGGACGACGCGAAGATCACTGCTATTGCGGAGTGGCCCGCCCCCACATCCGCCAAGCAGCTTCGCAGCTTCCTAGGCCTGACCAGCTACTATAGTAACTTCATCCGGGGATACGCTAGGTATTCTTACGTCCTTACCTCCACCCTCCTTCGGAAGAACCCATCCTGGGCTTGGACACCCCTCCACGAGGATGCCTTCCGCGCCCTCAAGAAGGCGGTGACATGCGCACCGGTTCTTCACCTACCCGATTTTGATCGTCCTTTTATCCTTACCACCGATGCGTCAGACTTTGTTGTAGGAGCAGTGCTTTCTCATGTCTTCCCCTCCTCTCCTGATTCCTCTCATCCTCGTATCCCTCGCTTCCCACCACCTACCCCTACCACTGCTTCCCGACTGACGCCTACTCGTCCAGCTACTGACGAGCCTCCTATTGACTATTCTCCTACCATCGCCGAGGATGGCACTGTCGAGACTCGCTCAGGTGATTGTCCGATAGCCTTCTACTCCCGTCAGCTCCTGCCCGCCGAGATAAACTACACTGCTGATGAACGTGAGGTTCTCGCAATAGTTTATGCCGCTCGGCACTGGCGTCACTACCTGCACGGGGCACCATTCATGGTGCGCACGGACAACTCTGTTGTCCAGGTTTTTCTGACTAAGTTGACGCTCACTCCTCGACAGGCTCGCTGGTGGCGCAACCTATCCGAGTTTAGTTTCACCACTGAGCACATCAAGGGTAAGACTAATCGGGTCGCAGATGCCCTATCCCGGCGCCCTGACTATGACCAGGAGCACATCCAGCTCTCTTCCATCTCGGTCACCACCGTCCACCACTTGGTGATCGACGAGTTTCGCACTCAGTACCGCCACTGCCCCGACTATYGYRACATCCACGCGACCCTTYGGAGTGGYAAGACCGTCCCGAACTACTCTCTCGGGGACAACGGTCTTGTGTACTGGCACGGTTCACAGGGCACCAGAGAGCCCCGTATTTGCGTTCCCTCCACTGAACAGCTATGTGTCCGAGCAATACCAGAGTTCCATGACCAGGCAGCCGCCGGTTATATGGGATTCCACAAGACGTTGGCTCGTGTGAGCCGCCTGTACGTCTGGCCGAAGCACAAGGACTCTGTGAAGGACTACGTCGCCGAGTGTCCCACTTGTCAGGAGGTGAACAGTGCGAACCACCTGCCTTATGGTTTGCTCCAACCTCTTCCTATCCCTGAGGGTCGTTGGCAGTCCATCTCGATGGACTTTATTGGTCCTCTTTGTCCTCCGACCCCTTGCGGTCATGATGCTATCCTGGTCGTCGTCGACCGCTTCACGAAGCGTGCACGCTTTGTTCCGTGCTGCTATGCCATCAGTGCACGTGAGGTCGCCGACATCGTGTTTGACCGAGTCGTGCGTGACCACGGCTTACCTCTGAGCATCATATCTGACCGTGACCCGTGCTTTACCAGCCGATTCTGGCGACGGCTCCACGAGGTATACGACACTCAGCTCCGCTTCTCCTCGTCTTACCATCCTCAGACTGATGGTCAGACCGAGATCACGAACAGGACTCTTGGAGATATTCTTCGCAAGATTGTTAGTGACGACCAGCAGTGGGATCTTCATCTTGGCCACGCGGAGATAGCCTACACCCACGCCGTCTCGCTAGGCACGGGGATGTCGCCTTACTATTGCGACCTCGGCTATCACCCTCGTGTTCCCGCAGACTTTCTTCGACCGTCACAAATGCACCCCGACACGAGTTGTCCTGCGCTGGATGATTGGGTTGTACACATGATGTCGATCATGAAGACCGCACATGAGCACATAGCCGCTTCCCAAACTCGCATGGCAGCACGTGCGAACCGATCGAGGATGAACCATCCATTCAAAGTCGGTGATGATGTGCTTATCGACGCCCGCCACTTACAGCTCGAAGCGAACACGCTTCGCAAGTTTCGGCGTCGCTTCTTTGGTTCATGCCGCATCCTCCAGGCCGTCCGTTCTGATATGGCATCTAGCCCGGTCAGCTTTCGTGTGAAGCTGTCCGACTACCTACGCCAGGCTCGTGTGCACGATGTCTACTACGTCTCGTTACTGCGTCCTTACCGCCGACCATCCGAGCGTTTCACTGGACGACCATACGAGCGCCCTCCACCCCTCATGGTGGACGGCCACGAGGAGTTCCTCGTTTCAGACATCATTGGTTGCAGAGTCACCGACGACAACCCTCCCCACGTCGAGTATCTCATACGTTGGAAGGGTTACCCTGATGAGGAGGCTACCTGGGAGCCCCTCGAGCACTTGCAGCACGCTCGCATGTTGGTTCGTGCCTATGACCGTGCTCGTCGTGCTGGGTTCACTGCTCCTCCTCAGCCCACTGACCCTCCTCCTTCTCCCCCGGCTGAGGAGACCGCTGAAGTCGAGCCTGCTCCATCTGAGGCAGACCTTCAGCAGCAGCCGGATGCTTCTGAGCGTCCACAGCGCACTCATCGTCGTCCTGCTCGATACGACGATTGACTCTGACTTACCTTCCCACGTCTTTGACTTCTMAGTACTCCATCCACATCAGTTTTGCTACTTCAGCTCGTCGACGCTGCGACTCTTCCTCAACGGCATTCCGGACTTCTCATCGTGGACGTCATCGGCAGCTTTATGGACTTCATCACGATCAGCTTTGCCTACTTCAGACGTGGCCACTCTCTTACCACTCTACCCAGTACAGTACCCTGCTTGTGTCGCATGATGGTCTCCCTTTAGCCGGCTTCCTCCGAGTTGGGCTCTCCCTTGGTATACGCATAGGCATTGGGACCGTAGTGTTGCCCTGGCTTTCCATCTTACGGATCTAGCTCCGGCTTCCCTCACTTTAGGAGTCATTTGCATGATTCCCTCACCTATCATCTTTCTACCCTTCGCCGGCCCTCACGCCCTAGTTAGGCAACCCCGCATGCTTCATCTAGGTGCGCCCAGTATATCAGGCTCCCCTGTTCCTTTGCATGGTCGACCCTCCATAGCGGTGACCCCTTAGTCGAGCATTACCCGCCCTGATGGTCTATCTGTTAGGGTCATTGGTTCTGTTCGCTCCCAGTTCCCTACCCTCATTGAGCCTGATGACATGTGTTTTCCCGTGTCACTATGTGTGGATGCGCTTAGGAGTTTTCGACCCCTAGGCTGCATTCGCCACCCTCAAAGACCATCCCACCCTTTGGTTTGCGACACACTTCTTATGTGACATATGGTTGTCTTGTTGATTGCTTTGTTGCTCTCAGACTGAGGCTATTGCCTCCGACATTTCTAGGATTTAGCTGTTCTGCTTTTGATGTTCTTAGGACGTATACATTGGTCAGTTGTGACCAGACTGAGGCTAGTGCCTCCAACATTCTAGGATCTAGTTATCACTACTTTCTGTTTTCCTAGGACATGTATGCTAGTTAGTTGTTTTTGCTTTCCTAGAACATGTATGTTCGTTAGTTGCTTCTGCTTTCACTTAGGTTGTTAGCTGTGACATTGCTGTTTTGTGACATTTTATATCCTAGGTTGCATCGCATGGACTCAGCATGGAGCTTGCTCCGCATCCTAGACTACTCAGGGTTTCTTTTATTTGGTAGAGTTCCGCTTCTTGGCGGAAGCATGTTTGTATCTAGGCGATCCATCACAGGCCGAGGATCGTGTAGCGGACCTCGGGTTGGCCTGTGAGACCAGCCCCTTGGCCTGTTCTCACAGGCCTGTGTTGTAGTCGGGATAGGCCAGTCCAGGCCGGTACCTCTGTCGGTACCAGCCAGTCCAGTCCAGTCCCGTCAGTCCGCTGGGGTATACCCCAGCCATTGTCTGTTTTCAGCCTCATTCTTCACTTGCACATTTCTGGAGTACGTGCGTTGGAGTCCTGCGTGGGAGCTGCGTTGTGCGTCATCTTGCTCCCCCTTCTTCCTCCATCTCCATCTCTACCACTAGCGGAGCACCATACCTGGTGGGTCCGCTACACCGCCCTCGATCGACACTATGTTGACATTTCTCATCAGCGCCGATTTCAACCCCCCCCCCGGCCCCACTCGACCAATCTCATCCAGCTAACCACTGTGTAGTGTACCACTGAGGCCTCGCACGTAGTCGACTTCACGACCACCGAGTCGTGGTTTGCCCCTTTGGCTACCCCACCACGGACCGCCACATCTAGTCCTTCCCCTCCGAGACTTCTTACGTGTCACGCCATTCGCACAACTCGTTGTAGCGCTCGACTGGCGACTCACAATGACGTTAAAGATGTGCAAGATCGCAATGAAATTTTTGCTAGGACACGAAATCATACACCGCTATCCAGCTATGAGCGCAAAGAGATTGGGAGAGGTCACTCCTGCCAAAACAACGATCGACTTCGAAACGAATCTTCCGCTGAAACAAGAAAGTATTTATTGCTTATTGCGAAACTGTTTCTCCTCTCCAAGCACACCTTTGCTCTACTAACTCTCCCTCTACTAACTTTCTAATCAAAATCGATTCTACTATTACATTTGCCTTCAACCAAACCCACTTCCTCATATCTTTCCCTACTCAGTTTCATCGAGGAACAAGTGTGATAACCCTTCTCCCTGTCGATGCACACCGTTTCACACGCAGTCTTCCTCCTCTATAACTACTGACCCACTCTCTTAACACTAAAACTAACGCTACCAACTGATTCGTAATGCAAAGAAAGCCCTATTTACCACTTTACTTCGCTCGATTTCGTTGAGAATCGATCGTGAAATCGCTTGTCTTACTCCTGCCATAGCTCTCTGCACGGTGCTTTGTTCTATTTACTCATAATCTACTAGTTCTCATACCCTTCTGACACCACCACTTAATTCGCCCGATTGAATATGCTCGAATTAGCATCCTTATCCGCCCGTTTTCGTAGAGGAACGGGCAGGTTATATGCTTTCGGATCCGGTCATGGCTACTTTCCTCTCGTCGCTGCGTCCTTCCTTCCCTGCATGCAGCTAGCGCATCTTCTCGTCCGGATTCAATCACTTCGTTTGCCTTTCCCCCCCACTGCCTATCATTTTCCGTCTTCTTCCTTTCGTCGTTGAGTTCTAACTCAGGTGCCTCCACTACGATGAATGATATAGATAGCAAAATGTCGGTAATGGAAGTTGACATCCACTAAGGAGTGTGTCTCAACTTCCCTGCCGAATCGGTCAGCCCCAAAGTTGGACAGCGCTGAGGCGCACGACCTATGTCCGACTGCCAAGGTGATTTCCGACGCCGTGAGGAGTGCGAGGGTGCAACCTAGCTGCGAGACCTGTAGCGTGAGGCGGGTCCCAATGCCGGTCTCAGTGGTAGCAGCAAATAGTAAAATGGGAGCTTTGGGGACCGAAGTAGGGGTGAGTTCCATGGAAACGGCCGCTGCAGCCAGTACCGTTGTGGGCCTTCACCTCGCGCCCCCTGTGCGCAGGTGAGTTCACCATCTTGTGGGACCCAGCGGGCATGCTCACACTCAAAACCACTCATATCATATCGTGGTCAACGGATGGTGCACCCGCAACGACCCACGCCACGCTCGGGTTGCAGTCCCATAGACCCGCTCAAAATATTCTCCAATTCTCTTCCACTTTCAGGCTATCGGCGCTCTCCAATTGGGAAGCAAGGGGAGCCACGACCATGAACCCCACCACTCTCAAGCACGTTAAACTCCTCGATCCATGTTTCCTGCGCGGGTAGGATAAAAGAACTTTGTCAATATCCGAAACACGTGAGGATACAGACGGGCCCACCAAAAGAGATGCGTACTCAAGGTCCTTGACTGTTATGACGACCATCTTTGGCCGGTGTCGCATCCGATTTAAGAAATGTTAAAGCATAAAGTTAAATAATAACGACAATGAAAATAAAAATAAAAATAAAAATAATAAAATAACTAGGATTACTAATGATTGAAAAACGATATACGGGGGAGAAGGGAACCGCTACTACCTTCCCGAACCCGCTGACGGCAAAACCAAAAAGGGATAGCCCCGTCGGACCCTCAACCCCTAGGCTCCTCCTCGCCGCTCCAATACTCCATCGCTGTTGTTTGTTGGCCTTGATCCCTTAATCTCCCTGTTGAGAATCCGATACCGTAACCAATAATACTAGGCCCAAGGTTGAACTTAACATTGACAGACACCCATATAAGTGGGTATTGCGCGACGCGCGGACCTACTAAAATGTTTCAAAGCCACATTGTTGTCGGTGTCGTCCTCCATATGTACGCTGTCGCACTTTTTTTCAGTCGGACCGCTTCAGACGACCAGAAAGCTAACAGGCTGTCACGCAGGATTCTGTATGTGATTGCAATAAATAAATAGATTAAATAATGCAAATCCCTTCCTGTTGTGTGCGTCCGGCTTCGAGCGAGATCCTTCAATTACGGTCTTCGTCGGACCCCGGTCTTAAAAATCTTTTATTTTGATTCGGAACAGCTGAACATCATGCAAATAAATAATCATAAAAATTATGAGGTGCTATGCATGCATCAAATATGTCAATCTGATTTTGAGAACTGTGGCAGAATTATCCACAAATGCAATAATCAAAACAAGAACAATATAAGAGACAAGATAGACTGACCCGAGCAAAGGAAAAATCAAGGGTATGAAGGATGAATGAGAACTCATAATAATCTTAGAAAGTACACATAGACAAGTATGGTCAGCACCTCTCAAGAGTCCTCACTCATCCCTCTGGTCAGTCTCTCTCAGTCTCTCTTTTCACTGTTCGTCTCTGGTGCCGTGACCCACGMCCACGTACAATYTGAGATTGAGGCCTCGTGACAAAGAGYCACYTGAAGCCTGCAAGCTCTGAGCATGACCATCYGAGGTATATGACACARAAGTTGACCAGAGAGTAGAACTCCTCCCACAAYGTAGGCAGTCCATCCACTGAAAAAAACCCTTGTCGATTACTGCTGGAGAGATATACCTTTTTGCCAAGTTGATCATGTCAAGCCWACTCGTGCCATCTATGAGGAGAGAAGGAACAAGAGGCCTGGGATAGTCGGTATAAAGCTTTGGCCCAAAGCTGCGGATCAACGTAGCACCACTCTCATCGAGCTCCCTCTCTCTCTGCTCGAGGTATTTGGTGGCAGAGATCCATTCTGGATCAAAATGCTCATGAGCCTCCTTGCCCTTCTTCAGGTAAGGCCTCAGATCGTGGATGGTACCATCAACGAAACTGGTCTGGACAACGAAGATTGACAGATCTCCTCGTCTAAAACCAGTGATATTGACCTACTGATAGCGAAAAGCCTCCTTGCATGAAATCTGATTGAGATTAGTCAGCACTGTCTCGCTGACTGGAACAGATTGCACTGTACTCATGACAAGGAAGTCTGATCCCCACTGATAAAATTTTGACTTGATTGTTGATTTAATTTGCTAAACTAAATGCCGAAATGCCTTTTGAACGGTTGATATGGTTTCTAATCCGATTGTTGATCTGATAGTTGATCTGACAGTTAACCGAATGATCACTAAGTACCGATTGAATGACTGCTGAGATGTAGACTGATTGATTGTTGAGATGAAAAGTGAATGATTGCTGAGATGTAGACCGAATGATTGCTGAGATGAAAA